GTGGTAGACGAACAACACACAAACTACCATGATGTGAGTGAATGAGCAGTGTTAATGTTCTTTCCCCTCTCTGTCTGTCTCTGTCCGTCCATTCTTCCGTTATCCCTTATCTTTCATTCAATCTTCATGTTTCTTTTCTTCTTTCTGTTTCCTTCAGGCCCTGAGAGACCTCGCCACTCAATATCCTGGAAAGATGACTATAATCAAACTAGGTAAACACAATATACACTCATAAGTACACACTTACACTTACAGAATTGAAATGTTACAAAGCCCAAGCAATGTTGTGTAACACAGGATGATCACAGGATCATGCAAGAAGTGTCCTATGCAGAACTACTGGTTGCTACAGAACAAGTTATTTGTATGGTATGTGTGTTGGTCAAAAAAAAGTTCCTTGTTCTGAGAGACAACAATGGCAGCTGCTAAAGATGTTTGCGTAGATGCTGTGAGCATCAGTCATATCAGAACTGGAGAGTGCAGTATTTTTCTCACTAACACTATCACCACATTTACTTTACAGTGGACAAAATAAGAAGCTGGTTATGTCACCTAATTTAGGGTTCATTTCCAGATACTTTAAACACTGATCATACCACAGAGATGGCACATTTTTTATAGGGGAAGAAAGGGCAGTACTTTCCAGAAGAGTATGGTCTAGACCTGCTCTATATGAGTGTCTATCCTAAGTGTCCTGAGATAACTTTTGTTATAAATTGGTGCTATACAAATAAAACTGAATTGAATTGAAGAGGACTGGTCACCTCCATCACTCTTCCTCACTTGTGAATCTTATGAAACATGTTTTATTCCCAATGAGTGAATGGGATGTAACATAATAAAATTAATTGCTAAATGGACTGTACTACTGCCTTTCTAGTCTTCCAACCACTCAAAGTGCTTTTACACTACATGCCACATTCACCCATTCACATATTCATACAGTGATGGCAAGCACTCATCACAAACAGAAACTAACTCATTCATACACATTCACACAAATAATACTTGTTAATGTTGGTAAATTTTTTGACAATGAATAAATAACAGAATACGGCCATCCTTATACTTTAACTAAGGCATGATTAATACACCGCTAGACAATTTTAGGAGCTGCAGTAGAGAATGGATAAATATCAGCAGATATTATTATTTAGCTTGTTGGGCTTTTTTCTCTAAAACATCAATAAGGGTATAGGCCTCAAAATTGCCAGTATCAGAATCAACTCTACAACATACTACATCCCCCATGTAGTCTGCAAATATACTCTGCTCTATTGTTGTACATCTGGGTTCAAGTGCAAGCTGGCGGAACAAGCACACGTGGTGCAACCATCTTATTTTTGCAACCCTGCAGTAGTATTTTCTGTGCCAGTGCAGTACATTAGTATGAGTATTAGCCTATGGCTGCTTTGCCATATCGTTTATTAGTGTTCATGTTCACTTCATGTTGCATGTTCTAAAATGGATGTACTTTATTATTTCTAGCTGTCGGATATAAGATTAAAAACTATTGTGCAAAATATAGCACAATGTCATTACAGGAGCAAAAATCAGCACCCCCAGCTCTGACTGAAGGAATTCATATTCTTACATCTGACAATGTTCTGCTAATCTTTGTTTGACATCAACCAAGTTGATTTAGTTGCCCAATAATCATACCTTAAAGGTGTGTAGCATTAATTAGCATCTAGTTTCAGAACACCACTCCGTCACTTTACCCTCTCCTTCCAAGAGTGTGAAAGTGGCTGTGAAACTCGCGAAAAACACAAACTGCCCTATCTAGAGCCAGTGTTTGGTTTGTCCATTCTGGGCTACATTAGAAACATGGCAGTTCAACATGGCGAACTCCATGGAAGGCAACCAGCAGCATCTGTAGATAAAAATGGTAACAAAGACATAATGATTCCTATTCTGCAGACACATCAGATGAGGATAGTATCTCAGCTGCCGTCCAAGCTGTGAGCAAGCAGATCGGGGCTGCTGGGTTGAACCTCCTCATCAACAACGCTGCGATCAACAAACCGGCCATGCCGGGGTCGTTGGCTGCCACTGGGAAAAAGGACATGATGGAAGTATACGAAACCAATGTGGCCGGACCATTTCTCCTTGCAAAGGTTGGTTTGTCTCACTCATCTCTGTGCTTACAGTGTGAACTTAATTACAGTATAATAAATATAATTTACTAATCAGCTATCGCCTCCCTCTCTTCAGATGTTTCTTCCACTCCTCCAGAGAGCAGCAGAGAGGGACGCACCTGAAAAGGACAAGGGTATATATCTGTTCTTTCGTGTCACACTAGAATTCCAATGTCAGATGAAGGCATTGTGGAAAATTTAAAATATCAGAGAATCAATGGTCGCTTACAGTTTCATGCTCTAATGCGCTGTACTTTTGTACATGGACTTTATGCTCTACACTTGCTTTTAATATGCCTCTGACACAGCTTGGTTTTACTCAAAAAAAGGAACACAGAAAATCAGCGCAGACATAACAACCTGACACTTATTACTGTCAGTTAGATCTTCGAAAGCAAGGGCCTTCCCAGTACTTTGTATGTGGTGTCATATACGATATGAACGCCACTAGGCCAAAACATTAGCCTGTTTGTTGACACTGGAATTAATTGGTAAAACTGAGATTAGTCAACTTTGTCCTGAAGAATTCTGTGTGTGCTGCCTTTTTACCTTTGGAACGTTGCAACTTATAACTACAACTCTGATGATCACACTCAAACCAACACCTTTAGCCAACTTTCAGTGAGTAATTGTTGGAGAGCAGCATTTGAAAAAGTGATCTGAGGTTTAAATCCTGACATGGTTGTGGCAGTAAGAATGTCAGTGGTTAACCAGAATATTTTTGACTAGTTACGCATGTCGGTCTATCACTTACTTCACATACAGTATATACACACTCCACTAACAGCTCTGTGCTAAATAAAGCTCAGTTTGGTACCATTTCCTCTAAAAAAGCAATAATTAAAATGTGAATTATATGATGCTACTCTTCAGTTTAGTAGTTGTTCAATGCTGTACCGCATTCAGAACAAGAACCTGGCTGCCATATTAGATGATGGCTCGCTGCTAGCCAGGGTAGAAAGTGTGAAATATGGTGTGCCAGATTACTTCCTTAACACTGACTGGGAGATACAGTCCATTATGCTCCTCACTCAGAGCCTCTCAGTTTGACAACCTCGCCCAGAAGTGCGGTAGAGCCAATGGCACCAGATCTACCGGTATGATCAAATACCTATGATTGTTGGTTTAGGAAGGGTGCCCTGCCCCAGATAGCATTATTCAGATAACAGCAATCAGTTGCAACATCTTAAAAACAGGCTGTCTGACATTACAAACATAAGTCACTGTGCTAGTTGCTGAACTACATCTTAATGCTGTCACATCCTTACTTCCTTTACTGTGAGTTGTTGTTGAGTCTGCTTTCTCTCTGATATAATGGAACCAGGTGGCACTCAATTTGTGGTAAATGGTAACTGGACCTGTATGTAATTGGGTATATAGCGCCGGTTTTATCCATCTTTCGCCCACCGACACCACAGCAAATTCTCGTTATTCACCCAGCTACGTGCCAGCAATCAATCACCCACGCTATCTCCGACACCATTGCAGCGACAGCGATAGAAACTAACTCATGTCAGGGTATACATTCAGCACACCGATGCTGTGCATCTGGGAGCAATTTGTTGGGGTTCAAGTATCTTGTTTCAAGGATACCTCGACACCTGGGATTGTGTCCTTTTCCGATTTGAAGGGGACGACCCCGCTCTGCCTCTGAGGCACAGCTGCCTGCTCAAGTAGTGCCGATAAAAAAATGTACACTTTATGAAAGAAAAGCCGCTACCAATCTGACACAGTGATATTGCCTGCGGACTTATATAGTGTTGGCGTAAGTACACCAAGCAATGAGGCGGTATGTACAATGTTATTTAGACTGATTT